ACCATCACCATCCATATATTCTAATGCAGCGACTTCACCGATTTTTGCCAGGCTCGAAGTATACGAAATAAATGAGAATGGGGAATGTGGATAGGAAACTGACCCGGTTGGGTGAGGGAGAAGTTAAGCACTAGAAAACAGACGCTCGTACATCCTCAAACAGTCTGAGGTAATAAACAAAATAAGAATATCACTGCCACTGCTTGTTGTCATAAACTTCAGCTGTCCAAGAAACTCGGTTACATGATATTTTTAATCCTAGCGCAGAGGATCAAACAACTACGCTGACCAATCCAACCGTGCACCTCCATACCTTGCCTTTGTCTCCTGTTATCCTTCACCACGGAGTGACAACTCCAAACGGCTGGGCATGACACAAATGGTGTTTACGGGCAACCCAGGCCCCCGGCCATTTATTCGACTAGAAATCCACCACCGAGAAACAGTATCGCATCGTGTATACACACGACCTTCCGACATATTAGTAACTGTCACGTAAATGCCTGAGGAGCTTCAGTTTGTGCCGTAGATAATTGTTTTTATGTAGATTGTGAAAAGCTCAGTAGCCTCAGTGGGATTCGAACACGCGCATGGACAGGGCCAACGCCTTTGTACAGCGCAAGCTCTACCAGCTGTGCTACGGGGCCACACCGATAGCACTGATCAGCTTACATGCTTACTGGTCATCATTATCATCGCACAGCGAAATACGGTGAGACGAACTTCGCTGATCACTGTCAAACTCACAAGGCATACAAGGTTAGTGGTAAAATTTAAGGTGGACAGGGATTGGACCTATTTTTTGGGAGGGAGAAGAAGGTGAACCACTATGGTCAACACGCAATCGAACGCTGCATACATACCGTTTCAAGCATTCTGACCTGATAAGAAACGACAACAAGAACGCCACTGCTGTCGTTTAGTCGTCATATCCTTCAATGTTTACAGCCAACCGGTTGTGGATTCTTTCGGACCCCAACCTGGAAGGTGAGAGACACCTACTCTACCTAATGGCTCTGTGCATTTCTTCATGCCTCGTCTCCACGTCATCTGTTGACCTCCATGTGGTTTCCTCCAGCCCGGATTAGCTACACCGAAAAAAGCGAGGTGCGGCAGACGACAGCTGGACACACGCAATATGTGCCCTAGCTAGCGAAGTCTACTAATCTGAATTCGGTGTGCTAGCAGGTTTATACCTGATAGACTCAAAAAAACACGACGGCTTACCTCCACGTTACTAACTCGTTCGCTCCATCCAACGTGGGCTAAACTGCGTAAACTGCTCACTGGTGGATGCCATGTGCCTCTGTAAGTTGGATTCGAATATGAAAAGATCAGTGCTATCGGTATGGCCTTGTAGCTCATCTGGTAGAGCGTGCGCTGTAGAAAAGCGTAGGCGGCGTCTGAGGCTACTGAACTTGTCACAATCGACATAAAAACTTCAAATCTGGTAAACAACAAAATAGATCATTTTTCACCGCTTATGTTGTCAGAATATACCAGATCGTACGGCTTCACATAAAGCGTCTATTCAGTCAGAATTTTGGAGTCCGACAAGGAAATTTTCCAACATATCATCTATCCCCAAGTCGAACAGGAATGATGAAAAAATTCAGGCAGACAGGTACAGAATTGACTTATGCCTGGAGCGAAATGTTATATTAGAGAAACATTTTCAGTCAAACTTCCACGTCTGGTGAACAAGTAGTCCATAAATTAAGATGAAACATTATCTGTGAAGTAGATTAAACACGAATGCCTGGAAACGGAGACTCGTGGAAAGTAGTCATCATCATCACCGTGATTATAAAGCGAAATACAACGAAGCGAACCTCGCTGACCGTTGGTAAGTTGACTAATTGTTTAACCAAACTAAATCGCACGAGGGTTGGTAAAGGTGTATAACTGACCACTCCGTATAAAACAACACCTTTCACCTAAAAAGGAAAGGTGGGTTTTGAACCAATAACCAAATCACCACCCAGTTTATCCTGTTCTTTGAAAAAAGCGAATTGATAAAAGATTTCCAACAGCTGGATGAATATTATTACTGAACCTACGCTATTTGGGTTTCATGCTCAGATACTTTCAAGCATTGCCTGTCACCGTATAATGATAAAATTGCCACCTTCAAGAGATATTAGACCTAGATACCAAATTATCTGCGTTGGTGAATGACCATTCGAGGAAATGGTGAGCAGTACGCTGGGTAAACTGCAAGATAAAAAAGCACTGAAACAGTGAGCATCGACACAGTTTCGTGCCTTTAGAGAACCCAAGGTTAAAGGAAATCCTGTTGTTGAAAACGGTGGCGGAAATTGTTGATTATCATTGTATGGTAAATGGACCGAACGAGGGACGAGACTTGCATCTAATGCGAAACAACACAATGGAAAGATATCATTTGCATGAACATGAATCTTATTCATATAAGAGAAACACTCCGTCAACAAGAGGGCTTGATACAACGGTAAGACATTACAAGAAACCAATTGATGGCTAGCTGTTTAAGTGCCCAAAGGTGCATTAGTGAAACGCTTACATTGGCTAAATTCACAGGGCAAATAGTCGCCCGTATAAAATTGTTAGTTCGGCCGACTGCAATTTAAGTCGAATGTGCGAGGAGCCACCTGTGGTGCATAACGCATGAGAAGTGCAGCTGAGTGCGACTAAACAGTGACTTTATATCACAGCCCATTTCGGTAAAAGTAAACGAAAGAATTGCAGCCGCTCAAATACGCTGAGCTCAATCGATGAGTATATCAGCGGTGCTGACTGGGGAAGTCAGGAAATTGCGCAATACGAAAAACCTGTCTTTGCGGCTGTTGGGTTTGAAAGTCAATCAAAGAACAAGGCACAGCAACATGCAACATAAGAGCTTCTGTGAACAAAAGGGAATGTCATAGTGACAGTGCATTAGTTACAGCACTTCTTTGAAGTGCTGGGAGGTGATGAGTACAACGGATCTGCAACAGGATTCATCACCACAGCGGGAGCCTGATTCCCCGAGGGTTGAGAACTGACAATCTCGTAGATGGCTGAAAGTGAGTAAAATGGTAAACGATAACCCCACAAACGAATATTTACCTAGTCAGAGTAAAACCCATTAGTGTCATATTTGTTGAAGAAGATTGGTGTTCAAGAAATATTCACTGGCTATATAACTAAAGGGTATTAAATAAGCCGCTGAGGATCTCCTGGTATTAGGTGTATGGCATGCAAGTGTCACGTGGAAAATACAAACCGAATTTTATAGCAATAACTTCTTGGAGTAACCCAGATATATGTATATAACGTACGACCCAGGGAAAACTGCAGTAATGAATAGCTAACATTTTCTTATGAAGCTCTTTGTAGACAACAGTGTTTGATTTTATTTGCATTACTAAATGAACCTTAATTCCTACATAGTTTTAACTGGGATGGATTACACAAGTTCAAAGCGGAATCATCAGAAGCGATCCCCGCTAGGTGGTTGAATTGGGTAGTCAGAGGCCAGCATGATTTCTAAAGATAGTCCGTGTTGGTTGTTGAGTCGAGTGTGTTTCACCCTGTTATCATTATCTTCACTATGCATCACATTTGATTACAATGGCACTGTGTAAAACAACTCATGGTACAAGAATCCTCGAGGAAAAGAGATCACTTCATGATCTGTTCGCGGATGAAATACTACAAGGTTTCTCAAACAAAGATCATGTTCTAAAGGCAGACATCCACCGCGAGTGCTTTTAGAGATGAGCACGGTGACAGCATGCCTCGACTAAACACGAACCGTGCGGTTTTCTGAGGGCTGCACCATTTCTTTTCTTTTTCTTTTTTCTTTTTCATTTTACTTCCTTTTATTGATTATACAAAGATACAATTTTCAGGAAGGGGGAAAGCGGCCAATCAGAGGGCTGCCAAATTGCATAGAACTCGGTACTGACTGAATTATCTAAATGTGGTGTGAAAAGGCCTTTTTGTCCTTTGCGGGTCAGCGGCGAACCGGTCAATTTCATCATTGGTCCAGACAGTCACTAGTAGACGCAGAAACGATTTCAGACATCTGAGCACCGTTGTTCTTACAGCCATGAGTAAGTGTCGTGAGGAAAACGACATAATNGTCGTGAGGAAAACGACATAATCGTGCTGGAAACTAATGCACTTTCAGAGACTTAGGTGGTAGGGATGCGTTGTGCTGAATATATTTTTTCATTACATTTTACTCAACGAAAAAGGTAGCGGCAGGAAAATGGTCACGATGACGGCGAGAAGTATAAAGGCCGTTTTTTAATGCACACGGTTGATGAAACCGGTGCAGAGGTCTAGAAGATTCCTACAATGTTTGGTTGCAGACTCTAATAGACAATGTAAAAAGCCGTAAGAATCGGTGCTTTTTGCAATAGTTCATACAGCCAATTATGTCACACGGTGTAGTAATAACCTTTTGTCTTCCATGGATTATCACGTATTATCAGACATTTTTGTAAAAAAAAGCACTTTTACTGCTTAACATAGATCCACAGAAAATCTTTATGAAAACCTTAGATTTTAGTGGTTCAGAATTGTGCATTAAGTTTGCTTATTTCTGATAACTTTTCCTCTTCTAATGTGTAACTCATAGATCGTTGAAGAATGTATGTAACCAGCGTAAGATTATAAAAAAAACGTGACGTACTTTCTAATGAAAACGAGTTTACTCCGCATGAATTCTATAATCCCTATTGGCTGAAATATTAAAAGCTATATTCTGAAAGATTCCTGTCCCTGTTGGAAACGTCATCGTCACATGAATTGAAGCCCTAAAGTCGTGCAATTAGTCTGGTTGCGTATTACTATCAACGGACATCTCGCTTTTCGGATTACATTCATTTGCCAGCTAATCATTCGATGTTTTCTCTTACTGAATCGTGCTACCTTTGAAACATTGGATATCGACCTCATAAAACCGTAGTTACCATTGCAAATCCCAACACCCCACTCTTAATTGAACTAAATGCCTCTAAATGCTCTTACGACTACCCCAAATAAAGACGATCTGTAGCGTTCCTCCCAAAAATCTTGTCACTCAGTGAGTGATATCACTTGACAACACTATCAACGAGTCAGTTGGGAAGTGGTGACTCTGCTGGGTTATTTCTTCAAACTGATAACTGAACAAAAATCTCCGCCCTTCATCTGCAGAATGCAGCAGACAGGGAGAACAAAGAAAGAGAACCAATGACGGAAACTGTAACTCTCACCTTACCATTTTGATATTTACAGACCAGGTGGGAAAAATTTAGTCGCAGATACCTTGTTACATAGCCCTTGTGGTTTATCCTACGTTCATGCCGATCGTCAAAAGCACGATGAGATGTAATGTCACCATGATCACCGTATTCCCCACGACGGGTACTAGATTGGACGATTGAATGGGCGGATGTTAAAGACAACCACACTGACATTTTGAGGTTTGCTTCTGGTGCTAGATATTTTCTTGAAACCAGTTTTCTATCGTACTACTTTCTCGGACTAGAGGAAAAGGCAGTGACTTTTGTCAGCCATTGTGATTTGCCCACTGCGATTGGTTATTTCTGCTTAATTTTTCTTCGTTTCTTCTGAGTAGTAAACAGACTTCTGGTTCTCCACTCCAACCTGCTAAGTGATCGAAGGTTTACCAGAAAAACCTTGTAAGAAACATTCACGTGGATTTTAAGTTTACGACCGAAGCGAGAAGACTGCTGTAACATTGACTTTGCTACCGATTTTGTTGTTTATCCATTTAAAAACATGGACGATTTGTTGAGAACGCTGGCCAGGACACAGTTCGGTGAGCATGATATCAAATCACCCGAAAGGAAAAGTGCAAGGCTTAATATTTACATGAAAGTAAAAGATTGACACAGTAATGCAAGGCAAAACGATTCGAATGCACATAACGACAAAACTAAACACAATATCCGCCTACCTTGGAGGATTTGTACGAAGGCTTCGTCTACATTAGTTGAATCCAAAGCAGAAGTTTCAGTGAAAAACAGATTTTCACGTCTGGCAAGACTGCGGGCTTCGTCCGTAGGAACCATTCTCAAATGCCGCAAATCGCATTTGTTCCCGATGAGCATAACCACGATACCAGTATCGGAATGATCACGTAACTCCCGTAACCACTGTAACACATTCTCAAATGTGGCATGTTTGGAGATGTCGTAAACTAAGAGAGCCCCAACAGCGCCTCTGTAGTATCTGTTGAAATCAAAAAATCGTCAGAGAAGTAAAGTGAAGTGTGAGACGTTGCTCAAGACGTATAGGCTAACTGAATGCGTAAAGTTTGGGCTGCGATTATCTACCAAAACTAACCAAAAATTTAAATCGCTGGTAGGCGTAAAACTACACCAGGGAATGTGAAATCAAATTATAACCAATGGGGCATGTGCAGCGTGAAACGGCCATGCTGGTGATTAAAAATTCGGTAGTTGACAATAGTTGAAAACATCACAAACTTCCGGTTATATCGCATGTGAGTAAAGGAGAATTTGATTAAATTTCAAATGGAAATTCGTCCTATATAGCAAATGAAGCGTGAACTGAAAAGCTAGGAAGCATTGAAAAGCTGTTTCGACCTGGTTGGGTCTCATCGGCAGTGCGAATCCATCGACCCAACTGCGGCTGTTCCCAACCGAATCATAACCCTGGAGGCTAGTGCTAAGATGAGCAGGGTCTGTGGCCCGCAACAAGCTCGCAAACATGGGTTGTGCTATATCGTGTAAATAGAAAATGGAAAATGGTCTGGTCAGCTGCCCGAGTGGCGTAGTGGGTTGCATGCTCGCGTTCTGCCCATGAAAACCCGGGTTCAATCCCCAGTTGGGTCGAGGTATTCGCACTGCTGATGAGAGCCAACCAGGTCGAAACACCTGTCCAGTGCTTCCTAGCTTTTCAGTTCACGCTTCATTTGCTACATACACGACAAATTCCCATTTGAAATTTCGGTTATGATAAAAACAATGCCCAATTGCCCTATTGTGACTATGTACATTCGAGTCGATTCCAACGATACTTTTGATAATAACTGTTCACACGGTTATCAAAAGCCAGATCAGCACAAAAAGACGCTTGAATACTATTCTGGTTTACCCAATGAACTGATAACGACACAATACTCTCTCATAGGTTTACAATGGACTTTATTGGTAACAGCAGCAGATTATTTTGATCCGCATTACTCAACGGCTGTCCACAGGATAGTTCACTCCTGTGTAGGGAGTTAGGTGACAGAAAACAGTCTCGAAAGTTCTCTGGATGACATCTTATTTCCGTTGGTGCCAACACTACACGGCCAAAATTTACGTTAGAACAAATGAACTGCGAGCTTAAATTACGGAAGAAAATTTGAAATTCATGGTCGTTTCTGTAGCCCGTTTCTGTAATGCGCCGAAAACAGTCCACAGGACGCAATCAAACCTGTCTAATTCAAGGTGCTGAGCATTGAGACACTGAGGCTGTCAAGCAAGAATTTGAAATTTCGTTCGTTCGAAACGCAAGTTCTATAAAACGGTCTACATCATCTGCCTCAGCGTGACTACCATCCGGAACATAAATCGGAGCCACGAAACACGACTTCTAGGGATAACGGCTAACATGATTGGCGTCGACTTTACCTGAACGTGAAACGATTAACTCGAAATAAACTTGTTATCAGTAATTATTATTCGAAAGAACTACATATGCCGGAATAAACTTCAAAAGACTGAAAAAAATCAAATACAAAATACGCCATGCGATGTACTCACGCGGATGTAATCGCCCGGTAGCGTTCTTGACCCGCAGTATCCCAAATTTGTGCCTTGATAGTTTTTCCATCAATCGTGACACTCCTACGAATTTATACAATTATGTAAACCAAGATACCTGGTGGCGAATTCAACACCAATGGTACTCTTGCTTTCTAAATTAAATTCATTTCTGGTAAACCGGGACAATAGATTGCTCTTGCCAACACCTGAATCTCCTATCAAAACAACTGATGAAAATTAGAGTCTGCATCATAAGTAAATACCTTTAAAAAGATAATCATATTCCTCTTCACGGGCCGCAAGCGAACTGGTGTACATCCCGCGATTTCTAAGTTTATTGATTAGGTACGCAACTTGATGCGGAAAAACAAATGCCAGTTCAGTTCAGTTCAGTTTTCACAGGACGAATATGGCTCTTGCCAATC